AGAACGGCTTTCGGCAAAGCTTGCTTTATAAACCAACCGGAATCTGCAGCAAAACGTATATCTGGTGAAAAGCGCTGGAAATGTTGTGTTAGCCAGACTAGTTTTGGTCTCTGATTTGATTGGCTAAAAAGCGTCTTTTTTTTTTCGATTCGTCAGAGTTTCCCAAGCACATTACAGAGCTCAGCACCTCAAAACACTTCCAACAAGCTTTGTAATTTGTATTCCTTAATCATTTCCAGGTTATGCATGGTACAAATGGCCGTGGAGTCCAGGTTGTACTCAACTCTCTTGCTGAGGAGAAGTTGCAAGCTAGTCTTCGTTGCTTGGCTCGTCATGGACGATTCCTGGAAATCGGAAAATACGATCTGTCAAACAACACTCCGCTAGGAATGGCTTTGTTTCTCAAAAACGTGTCGTTCCATGGAATATTGTTAGATGCCATTTTCGAGGAGGGCAACCCGGAGTGGACTCAAGTGTCAGAACTTCTCACTAATGGAATCAAGTCAGGTAAATGCAATCCATTATTTTGTTCTTTATTCTTACGATGAGCACTCGAACGTTTCTAAACTTTATTCCATTTTCTGGTTTATTTGACATCGGGAGAGTTAGCGTACTTCAAAGGATTTAGGATCTCCTGTGCGGTACATTACACGTGAAAGTACCTCGCACAACAGCGTTCATTTGAATGGTCACAAACTGTGGTCTCATCCCCAGAGCTGAACGATCAAACCACTTTAACAGCACAAAAAAATAGCACTACATGAAAGTTACGCTCAGTGGCGTTCATTTGAACGATCACACTTAAGGATTTCTTAGACAGACCTAAAAGGTAAAGCAACCCTGTGAACCAGAATAAAAGAATTGTTCAATAACTCTCATTAGAAAGGGTCATTCCGTAACAACAATTTCATACAGTGACTGTAAAGTTTGAACCACGTTTCTGAACTCTTTCCCTTGACTCTAAATGGAAATTGTCTAGGATTGTAGAACTTACGTTGTTTTGGTGTTGTGTTAACAGGAGCAGTACGGCCTCTGAAAACCACAGTCTTCGACCGCGATGAAATTGAGCCCGCGTTCCGTTTCATGGCCCAAGGCAAACACATTGGCAAAGTGGTCATCCAGGTCAGACCGGAAGACGAGTCCAAGTCAGTGGTCAAACTTGTGGCACATGCGCGAAGCATGTGTGATCCCCGGAAGAGCTATGTGGTCACTGGTGGCCTGGGTGGCTTTGGACTGGAACTTGCCCATTGGTTGGTAGAGAGAGGTGCCCGCAATCTGGTTCTTACAAGTCGAAGAGGTATGCGAACTGTTTTTATTTAAAGTACCGTTTCTAAACCCTCATGACGCTGTAGTAAAAAGAAGAGAAATAGACGTTTTCATAGAAACTCTTGGCGCGTGGAGTTGGCCAGCGTTTACAAAGGTTCCTCTCTTTTACAGTTTATCGAAAAGAAGAAAAGAATTATTTTTATGTTTTACAGGAAGTTGCTAGAGGAGTGTTGACTGGATTTATATGGAAGAAAGAAACACGCTGCTAAATTGCATTGAGTTAATTCTTTGACATCAGTTTACAAACATTAATCCCTCTGTTATGGGTTTCTTGTTTTTGCACGTATTGACAAACTTGTTTGGTTTCAGGCATCCGCACTGGTTACCAGGCTCGTCGTGTCAAAGTATGGCAGGAAATGGGCGTCAAAGTCCTGTCACTCACTGATGACGTAGGCACGAAAGAGGGCGCTACGTGTATCGTGAAAAAAGCTCGTAAACTTGGTCCCTTGGGAGGAATCTTTCATCTGGCGGTGGTGCTGAAAGATGGCTTGTTCGAGAATCAGACTATCGAAGCTTTCCAGGCTGTCAGCAAACCGAAGTACCACGGAACGATTTATCTTGACCAGTTGACACGAGAAAAAGATGTAGCCAAAGATCTTCACTGGTTCGTGGTGTTTTCGTCTGTGTCCAGTGGTCGTGGTAATGCTGGACAGGCCAATTATGGATTTGCCAACTCGGCCATGGAGAGGATCTGCGAGGAGCGTGTGAAGAGTGGCCTGCCTGGTGTGGCTATTCAGTGGGGTGCTATTGGAGATGTTGGTTTAATTCAGGTGCAACATTCTAGTACATTCATTATACAGAATGCGGGAAAGGAGGAGAGGGAGGGGAAGAATGAGATCGAGTGGCTGGGGTAAACATGACCAGTCGCTTCTGTCATCCGATCTCTGACACAATTGTCACTGGACACTTCTTTGCGTGCGTTTAATGAATTAACAGTTAAGCGAAGCACGAGGTGGTGAAAGTAGTCAATGGTTCACATTTTTTTGTGTCAAGAAACATCTTTCACCTGCATGAAGGTGACTGAGAGTGTACAAACATGCTGGTACATAGTTCAACAACTTCCGCATTTCAAGCTGAAATATTAACGGATAGTCTGTTTGTTGCAGGATACCATGGGTGGCTCAAACGAAACTGTCATTGGTGGTACGCTACCACAGCGCATGAGCAGCTGCTTAGCTGTCCTGGATAGATTCTTATCGCAGGCTCACCCAGTGATGTCCTCGTACGTACTGGCATCAAAGATAACGACTAAGGGAGACAAGGGGTCTGGATCCGACCTGGTTGGAGCCGTTGCGCACATTCTCGGAGTCAAAGATATTTCGACTATAAACCCCGACACGACGCTAGCTGATCTAGGTGAGTTCATTTTAAATACGTTTGGCTTCAACAAGCCAGTAAATATAACAGACATTCTGGACGTGCTTGGATATCGCGGGATAAATTTCTGCCCTTTCTTAGTCATTTCAAATGCAGTGACTTGAAAGATAGTGTATCCTTCAAAATCGAACCGTAGGTAATTGCAGGGGATACAGAGTACCTGGGTTTAAACATTGAAGAAAAAACTCGCAAAGCTAATGAATGCTTGCGCTTTCGAGTTTCGTCGTTGGACTCCTTCGCACGCAAGGAGTTTTGACCCTGGGGGAGGAAGTTAGGGGGAAGGGGGAGGGGTTCAAGAATTGTAAAGGGTTCTACTTAGTTAACTATGGTGTTGTAACACTCAATTATATTAATTTCTCTTTAGGTCTGGATTCTCTTATGGGAGTTGAAGTCCGTCAGACCTTGGAACGAGACTTCGATATTCAGATGAGCATGAAAGACGTGCGCCTGTTGACAGTGAACAAAATGCGAGACCTGACAAGTGGTGGTTCACCCAAGGAAACTGATAAGGGAGCAGATAGAGGAAGGAACTCTGAAGAAGCCAAACTTGAGATTAGCCTTCCAGAGATAGGCATGCAGTCTTTAGTTCACTTGAACGACGTGAAGAACCATCAGAAACCACTCTTTGTGATCCACAACATCAACGGTACTGTGGAACCTTTACGTACCCTTGCTAGGAATCTCTCTTGTCCCGTGTTTGGTCTGCAATACACTGTTACCTCCCCCAAGGACTCCATCCAGTCTCTCTCTGCCAGCTACATCCAGTGCATACGGGATATTGTTGCCCAGGGCCCTTACCGTTTGGCTGGCTACTCGTTTGGAGCGTGCGTGGCTATCGAGATGGCACTGCAACTCGAGAAGACAAACGAAGTTGAGAGTTTAATATTGTTGGATGGATCCCACAAGTACGTGGAAGCCCGTACAATTTGGCACCGAAACAGGCTCACTGTGGAGCAAGGATCCTGGGAGTCGAGTGCTGTGGCAGAGGGGCTTTGTACCTTGGCCCCTCAATACGCCCCCATCGACAAGGTGAAGCTCCTGGAAGCGCTTCAGAGGGAGACGTCCATTGAGAAACAGGTACAACTGACAGCGAGCGCCATCGCTGAGGCTAAGCCAATACTGAACAAGGAAACCATTGCAACGTTCATCTCGTGCTTTATGGCTCTGCTGCGCATGGGCGAGGAGTACAAGGTGACTTCGCGTCTCCGTGGCAAAGTTCATCTCATTCGCGCCAAAACTGTGGACGAGATGGGCAAGAGTCTTGGTGACGACTTCAGTCTAAGAGATGTCTGCGACGGCGGTGTGGCCCTGAGTTGGGTGGATGGAGATCACGAGTCGTTCCTTCAGAATGAGAGCGCTGTCGAGACGGCGAATATAATCACCAAGGCTTGGAGCAATTGAACTTGATTGACATTTCTAGGACAACAATGTTGAAGTGAAGAATACACGACCTTTCTTTAGAAAGAGACCGACAGAAGAAAAGACATTGCTTTGCGAGAAAACTGTGCGCCAATATTCAAAGTAGAACAGTTACAGTTATTTTTTAGTTTAAATGAGTGCTGCTAACAGCATTCGACTTAGTTTGTCTTCACCCAGACTAGAAATTAATGGTCTCTCAGAATGACACTACTGATCTTTTGCCGTTGGTTGACCATTTCAAATGCGTCGTAAATATTTTGTTGGCAATTTCGTTTCACATTTTTCCAAATTTACACGGCGGAGATCGGAACAAATATAAATGTGTGTTCCTCAGTCCAAAAAATCGGGGATTGAGTTTGGGGTGTTGTAAATAAATATCATATGATAGTAATCTATTATTCTTTGAATTAAATTATATTTCAGCTATTTCAGATATTTGACACAAAAAAATGAAACACAAAAATAAAATTATTATTCTGGAGTATTTAATAGGTGCTATTTACAGGGTCTTCGTGTCGCAGTTAATTTATCGGTTTAAGTACAAATGGACAGTAATAATTGTTTTTCTGTAGGTACGTGAATGTTAAAGTAGAGACTGAATTTAGTAAATAAATTACGCTCTTTAAAGAGTAATTTTGACGTGCTTGATGTCTCGTTCTCACTGAGTTGAATAGCTTTGCCGAAGGCAGTCCATACTAAAAATAAATTGTGTTAAGATCAAATTAGCATTTAAATTCAGCTGCCATTTTCTGACTAGTCGAAACGACCACGAGAATTAGTTCCTCAAACTGTGAGCTTCCTTGTAAGTTAACCTTGAGAGCAGCGAGTGGTAATTGTCACAAATTGGACGATAGTTTGAATTTTTGGTACCAAAAAAAATCTGCTTTTTCAAACACAAAATATATGTCGCCTATAACTTACAAGCAAAGACTGTACCAGAGCTGCATACTTTCCACCCTACTGTACGGCTCAGAATGCTGACGGATGACTGAAAGCGACCTCAACAAACTGTCCACCTTCCACACCAAGAACCCTCGAAGAATCCTGCGAATGTTCTGGRCRGAGACCATCTCCAACCAATATCTTCTCGCCCGCTGTCACCAAGACAGCATGGGCACCATCATCATGCGAGGGCGATAGAGATGGATCGGACATGTGATGAGAAGAGAGCCAGGCGACATCTCCCGCTCAGCCCTTCACTGGACAACAGAGGGGAAGCGGAAACGAGGGCGACCCAAGAACACCTGGCGTCGAACTGTAGAAGGGGAACTCAAGACCCTCCATTACACCTGCGGGACCGTTCAGAAACTGGCCCAGAACAAACAGGAGTGGGGTACCTTTGTTGCTGCCCTACATGCGAGCCGGCATAATGGGCATGAGTGAGTGAGTTGGTGTGATAACTTACAAACTTTTTTCTCGATTCATATTTGAAATACGACACGGTCATAAGTTCGGGTTTACAGAGTACTCTAACATTCAGAGCTTCTTTTAAATAACATCTTTAGATATCTGGAATCCGAGAGCTGAACAAATCCACCAACCACAATGTTGCATTAAAAATCGATGTCGTGTAACATGGCGCACAGGGCGACTTTTAACGCAACATCTCGTTGCGGCAACATGTTACAAGTTTTTGAATGAAGCGATTCAAAACCTGCAACATTGTTGCCCGAATTTTGCACGTTGCGTTATAAGTCGCTCTGTGCGCCATGTTACACGATATCGATTTTCAGCGCAACATTGTTGCTTTAAAAATCGGCTGGTGTAACATCTTTTGCCTCTACGAAACATTCACGATACTCGTGTGGTAACATTATCCGCGGAAGAACTGGGTACCATGAAGGAGATTAACTCGTGCAAGAGATTATCAAGATAATCTCTTGACTCGTAAAGTTGTCATGCGTATCGAGTATAGACTGTTATAGAGATGAAGCCAAAATTATAACATCTGCGTTTTAGAGTATCGAGGTACTTTTTCTGAGAGTTGGCCGAGACCTCGTCGAACCTATGTACCGAAAACAGAGGACTGACGTAATTTCCTTTAAGAAAAATTTTAAACCAGATGTTCTGTCGTTGTTACGCGTATTTTTTTTCCCTTTTGATAACAAAGCATTTGATTTGTGTTCGATTAAGAAAATATAACTGAATGATATGGTGCGAAAAGTTCTAACGTAGGCCAATGCATGAAAGTTGAAGGCTGTGATTCCAAAATGTAAAGTAAGAACGTTTTGGCATGAAAAAATATTGATTTCTAAAGGATAAGGGTGTCAAACGTAAACTGAAAGAATAAGCTGGTCTTTTATTATCAGTAGAAAACATTGACTAGTGACGCAAGTAAAATTATAGAATTGAACATAAGAGAGTGAGGTTTTGAGACTACATTGTTTGAAGCACTGTTCTGTTCGCAATGACTTTTGCCTCGTATATTTTTGCTCCGTGTTTTTAGACAAATTAAACCTTAAAAGATCTCAGCAGATACAATTTTGTCAATTTTGTCGGTTGTTTCCATTTTTCACTGAATGCAATTTCCCTTTGTTCATTTACGCTTGTTCTTGGACATCCTTGTCTTTGTGAGCTTCAACGCTTCAAGTTTTTGTTCACGTTTCCAGCGAACTTACAGAAACAGCTGTATGCAGAATTCATAAGAATTGATTTCATATTGCATTTAGGGGAAGTTTAATTTTGCTGTGTCGAACGTCCTGCTTTCTTCGCTTCCCGAGGAAAAAAGCAGCACTGAGAAGCCATTTGAACGAAAAAAAGCTATTTGAGCAACAATGATACTCCCGAGCAACGTTTCGTTGCCCTTCATGTTCATCACGTTGGTTTTGATTGTCCTTTTCCTATGCATGCTGTGCTATTTTCATATCTGGTTTGCCTGCAATAAGAGGTACCGTAAGAAGTATCAGGCCAAACAACAAGAAGATGGCCAGCAATACCAACTCGAAGCGGGATTATCTGGCCTTCATACCACTGTTGACGGGAAAATCTTTGAAGTACAACACGACGGCACCAAAAAGCAAGTCGGCGAGTTAAACGACTTCAGTCTTATCTGAACGCATTTCTACAGTTCAGCTGGTGCTTACCATATGTCTGCGACATTTTTAATGGAAAAAGAAAGAAACAGCAGGAATAATCAAAAACAGAACTATATGGGAAAAATTCTTCTCTCTCATGTGGGATTGCTTATCTTGTAGACGTCAACACAAATGTCCGAAAAAACTTGTTCGTATCATCAATTTCTTGTTATTTTCATTTTTATCGCATGCATATAAAGCCGGCAAATGGATGCCAAAATGTTGTTTACTGCTG